CAGCTTGCTTGTGCTGGCTCTTCCGTGTTCCTCATCCCTGGCATTTCTCCTTCACTCCGGTGACGGTCCCTTCTCTCCCTCCTTGGTCCAGACGAGCTCAGCACCACCGGGTCCCATGTCCGTCCCCTGCGGGTTCTCGTGGCAGAGTTGCTCTCGCCCTTTCTGCTCCTTGTGCCCTCTGTGCCCCTGGGATTAAGTGCAGAGTGTGCCCGAGCTGTCGCACTGTCCACTTCCCCTGACCTCGGCTGCTACGCTGGACAGCACAGCGCACACCGGTGGGTGCTTTCTGACTGGCTTGGGCTCTTGTTCTAAAACACTGCTGTTTGCCCGCACAATCTCTTTTCCCGTCAGCTCCAGCGTCACTGCAGGATGGCCTCTGGCCTTGCCCATCTGCTGGGCGTTTCCTGAGGATGCGCGGAGGCTGCCCCCAGTCGGTGGCCCTCCCCTGGAAGAGGACCCTTGCTGGGGAGCACTCCGGCCTCATTCACTACAGGGTCCACCAGGACGTGGCTCTGTGCTGCTGCCCGCAGGGTGAACGCCGCCACCGCCCCCCGAGAGCATCCTCCGCCCCGTAAAGCTCAGGCCTCTTGCGGCCCATGGGCGCCTTCTGTGGGCGGATGTCAGCCCAGGGACCGCCAGACATCAGCCCAGGGACCGCCAGACATCAGCCCAGGGACCGCCAGACGGGCCTGGCCGCGCGTCCCCGGAGCAGCTCCGTGCCTTCCGGCATCCGTGGTATTAAAGACGGAGCTGTTCCAAGGTTACACTTGAACTCCACACTCACTCTAGCACTTAGTGGGGTTTTTGCTTGTTTGCTTTTCATGGTGAAGTATAGTTCTGACAGTTCAAGTGACCTCTTACCCCTAGTGAGCATGAACCCAAAAGACCTGCCCGTGTTCTGGGTGGCCGTTGACTCGGTTCCGCCCGTTCTTCGTGGGCTGCCGGGACCGGCACCTGGAGCTGGTGGCTCAGCGACCTTCCCTTGCGACAGCACTCCGTCAGCATGTGCTCGCGGCCCGAGCCGGCCAGCTTCTCTATGCGCTACCTCCCGGGGTAGGACTGCGCGTCCGGCCGTGCGTCTCCACTGGCCACCTGGTGGAGCCCGGTACCGAATGAGACTTCCCGTCGGAGTGCTCACTGTGCTGAGTGTGTTTGCTGTGGAAATGTTCTGTTAATTGGCCAGCACTTCTCACTAGATTTGGTTAGAGCGGATATGCACAGCTCCTTGGGGACCCTTCTTAACGGACAAGGCTGGAAAAGTCACGACGGGACAGCAAAGCCATAACTGAACTTGGTATCATTTCCCCCATGTTATAAATTGCTCAGAAGTCTTCCTCTTAACTTTCAAACACATTTATAATATTAGTTCTTTCGGCCTTTGACTTTTACCCTAGCCCTCCAGTCCTTCCTTTAAACAGCCCCCTAAACTGACACCCATCCACAAGGAGTCAAAGTCTTTCAAACTTTTTCTGGTCCCTGGTCCCTCTGTACTTCATGCTTTTTGTCCCCATGTCTGACCAACATGTGCTACTTTCTCTCAGAAGACTGTCAAAATCATCCAAGTTGAAATGAAGCAGTCTGACCTTTCTCAGTGACATATTCTCATCCTATTAATGTCAGATGATCGACGCAGCTCTGCAGCAAACATGAAGCGAACTCCCAAGTTGGATGACTTGAGTCCGAGTCACAGTGCCGCCACTTACTGAATAGAGTCCCTCGGGCTAGCACCTGAGCTTTTCATCTTGTGTCTATCACAGGAGGTAGTGATGACTCAGAGTTGTTAGGAGAAGTGTATTAGCCTCGATGGAAGGGATTGCAAATACAGTGTGCGTGTTGGGTGATCTTAGATGGAATTAATAGAGGGAGCACACAGGAAGGTGTAGACAATGGCGTGTTCATCACTGCAGCTTCCTGAGTGCACACACTAAACTTGGCACATATGAGGAAATCTCAAAAAAGTGAATTTGATTATGAAATTCTTGCCAGAGCCAAAAAGGAAAAACTCTGCCTCTTTGAAACATTTACTTGTGAAATATTCGCCTCATCCATATGCAGCCTAAATTATTTATAGCCCCATCAGGCCCATTTGGCTATCCAAGCTTGTGGTTCAAGTTATACAGACCATTTTTATAATTACATCTTCGAGTGTGAGTGCTGTCTCGTTTAGAAAGTGTACAGGATAGAGTGTCATCAGACAGTGCTTTATTTCCAGTATCAAAAAACACTGGAGTTTGTTTGTTTGTTTTAATAACACTTTTGCTAATGCTTAGAAATAGTTCCAGCCTGCCGGGTGTGGCTCAGTGGATGGAGGGCCCTCCCATGGACTGAGAGGTCCTGTGATTTCCGGTCAGGGCACACGCCTGGGATCCCCGGTAGGAGGCAGCTGATCGATGTTTCTCACATTGCTGTTTCTCTCTCTTTCTCAAAAAAAAAAAAAAAAAAAAATATCAATAGAAAAAAGAAATAATGGCCCTGGCCAGTTTGGCCCAGCGGTTGAGCGTTGGCCTGCGGACCAGAGAGTCCCAGGTTCAGTTCCCAACGAGGGGCACATACCACAAAAAAAAATAATAATAATGCCAAAGTGATTATATAAATTTTAAAGGTTGGTAAGTCTTCCAAAATTGCCTCCGCTGTGTTTTCATTGTCAAGGTTAGGTTTTTGTTTTTTGTTTTTCTCATTTGAAGAGAACCCATTAGTTGATATTGTTTAAAACTGATTGGCAACATATTAGTAACGGTGTGAGGGTCTGTGGAGTTGAAATCACAGTGTCCTTTTTCCAAGTACTGAGAGTGCCGTTTGCAAACTGCAGTTTTTGTATTCATTTGTTCTCACTTTCCTTGAACAAGGTATTGCTTGAGCATTTATTTTCTTAGAATGATAGTATTAGTAGCCCTGGCCAGTTTGGCTCAACGGTTGGAGCGTCGGCCTGCGGTCCGGAGAGACCCAGGTTCGGTTCCCGCTGAGGGCACGTACTTCGGTTGCAGTTTGTCCCCGGCCCTGGTTGGTCGTGCGGGTGGCAGCCACTTGATGTGTCCCTTCACGTCGATGTTTCTCTCTCTCACCCCTTCCTCTCTCTCCCTCCTACTCTATCTGTACAAAAAATGGAAAAATATCCTCGGGTGAGGATAAAAAAAAAAAAGAATGATAGTATTAGTAAAAAATATGAATGTTTTTAGAATTCTTTTGGATATTCATTTAAAGCATTAGTCTGTGAGAAATGAATGTAATTACATGTTTTTCCTAATTTTTACTTGAAGTTGTTATGTATTAAAAACCCTCTAATATACAGTTAGGGTGAATAATTCTTTACATAGTCCTTCAGATCGCCTTGCGGTCAAAGCATCCGTTCTTGCGGTAGCCTTGCGGGTGGAAATCTAAATTGGCGTGGGGCACACATGTTTACTATGTTCTTCTGCTCTGCAGTCCTTTGGCCTTTTGCTTAGTTTTTGGGTCAGGAATTCATAGAGTTGAGTAGTCAACAGGTGATAAATGTCCCATTTATCTTCTTCCTGACTCTCCAGCTCCTGAGCATGAGAATTGCTGATCAGTTACAGCAACTGTCTCTTAAATGAGCTCTTAAATGTGCCTCTTATTTCATTCGGTAACTGGCTGCCCAGGGAGCTTGTCAGATGGACACTGGTGCCTTTCACAGTCTGCTCTGTCTGTCTGCGCCGAGGACTTGGTCAGCAGTGAGCACGGGGTGCTCGTCACTCCCTGCAGCGAGTGTGCGTGCTCGTGTCCAGGGCACGGTTCAGACTGTGTATTGAAATTAGTTTAAGAAGAAAAAATTACTGCCTTTGCTTCAACTCTCCATTTAGCCACCACTAATTAATATACGACGATGACATTTCTTACTATAAAATGCTTTTCCTGATTGTGTTTGTCCTCATATAAAAAAGAAAAACCAGGTCTATTAAATTGATGTTTACAAACAGTGACAAACTTGTAAAAGTGTATTTTAAATGAGCAAATATCATGATTAACATAGTGCCATCCAGAGGTCACTACTTCTTGGCTAATCTCCCTCTATGGTTGGCACTTGGAAAAGTGCCAGCCTTGGTCTGCTTGGGTATTTGTTACACAGCAGTTATCCATTCCATTGGAAATAGTCTTGATGATCAGTTAATGTTTATACTGGGTATAATGTTTATTCTCTTACCTGTGGAATGGGAATAAAAATAGTACGTAACAAAGTATAAATGAAGATGAAATGAGACCCTGCACAGAGGCACTTGGCACCGGCACACACTGAGCGGTCAGTTAGCAGCAGCCGTCATTACGCAGATATTGTCACATTTCATCCCTCCTTCCTGACGTCTTTGCGGAGGCTTTGGAGGCAGAACACTGGAAGGTTTTATGCGTCGCTTACTATGTCAATTGTATGAAATTCCATTTTCAATATGTTTAAAGTTATTAAACACCTGGAAACCTATGTGGAGTTACCTATATGCAAATCATTTTAATTTTGTCTTGTGGAAGAAAATGAAGGTAGATCTTCAGTGATGATTATTCTGTGCTTCAGGAGAGAATTGTGTAACAAATGTTACTGTAATAGGAGCAGGCCTAACCACCTCCTCGATTTTGATAACTGCCCTCACATTATTTAAATAGGAGAAATGCCTGGACCGAATAAATGACCCAAGCATGAAGTCAACTTTTAGCATTTTTTACATCTTGAATATCTGAATATTTTCAACTTAATGCCATAAAATATGTCAGTGGTAAAGGGGGGATAAACGGTGATGAAGGGAGACTTGATTGGGGTAGTGAACAGCAATACAATAGACAGATGGTGTATGTAGCATCGTACACCTGCAACCTGCATCATTTTATAACCAGTGTCACCCCACTGAATTCAATTAAATATGGTAGTGAACGTGTCCATCTATGCTATTCTAGGGTTCTAAAGGAAATGTTATAACTGCATGCTGCATAACGAGTTAACGTGGCATGATGGTGGGTCACCGTTGTAATCTGTCGTCTGCCTCTCTCTGCTGCAGGGCTCGTGTGCATGAAGTCCAGCACTTCCGTGGTGGAGCTGGTCATGCTGCTCTGCTCTCAGGTACGGAGTCGCGCCCGGCAGCTCGGAGGGGTGTCTGTATTCCTCTGACCCGGGACGAGTGTGCGTCTGCATGTGTGTGCTTGTATGTGTAAACTCCCAGCCATCGTCCCACAGATGGAGAAGGTCGTTCCCACTGAGATATATCGTATGTAGATGATCTTACCACGTAAATATTGGTTTAGTCTCCCTCTCCCTCTGCTCTCTGTAGCTTTCTTCCCCCACCCTTCCCATCCTTCCATTGTTCCCTACATCTACTCTCTGAATATATACACATATATATATATAGAGAGAGAGAGAGAGAGAGACATTTATAAAATTTGTTACTGACATTTTGATATCTCATCTTTTAAAGATGATACAATAGAATTTATAGCTTTAATTTTATTGTTAATTACATGTTTCTTCTTCTCTATTAGATTAGAGATCATGAAAATTAAGTTTTTTCCATGCAATAGCCAAAGTATAAAATGCAGCTCATTAGTGAGTGGTCTTGGATACGATACCTGTTTTCTTTTTTTTTAATGGAATTTGTATATTTCAGTGTAAATTCTAAAAATCTACATATCCTATTTTTCTTTAGTAATCAGAATTAAAAATAGAATTGTAATTGTTGGGTTTTTCTTCTTAGCAATTGTAAGAAAACTAAGCATATATATAATTACATTTTTCTGATAATTAAAATAGGGACTCGATGGTCTTTCTTCTCACCAGCTCTTTCAAGTTTCCTAGTGGTTCTGATTTTTATTTAAGTATAAATATTTTGTCTATGAAAATGAGAAAAGAGGTAATGCATGTTTTGTAATAAGTACTTATTACATTTATTCCTAGCTTCCTCATTAGAAAGAAAAATACATTTAAACGGTTTCTCAGCACTGTCCTGAGGTCTCCCTGAAAGCTTCTCCCAAATGAAAACCAATATGGCTTCGTACATCCTGTAAAAATCAGCAAAAACAAAGCACCCAGAACTTACCTCTTGATTTCCAGTCTTCGGGTCCTCTTCCTTCGAGAGCGTGTTCGTAGGGAAATGATTAAGTCCACCTCCCTTTTCAGCCAGGAAGGACTTTGATAAGACCTTGAGGACCACAGCATCCCCAGAAGGAGTTCATCTTCAAGGCATTTGAAAGCTGTTACCTAATACCAGAGTCCTGAGTTCGAGAGACGTTCTGAGAGATCCATCTGGACCTTTTAGGGTCTTAACGATGCACATTTAAAAAAATGTTTTTACAAAAAAAATAGCTTAAAACTCCTTTTTCCTTAGCTCTGGGTTTCACTGCAGTTCAGAGAGATAGAGAGGAATGTAGCATTAGGGTCTAGTGTCTGTGATGGCCTCATCATCTAATCATAGGTTTAACATTACTCATTTGCTGGCTCCAGGAATTCCTGCCATTAAAGGCCCTAGAGATGAAACTTTGCCTCAGATATTGATTGAAAGGAAGAGTGAGAAATTCAAGCTCTCTGCGCAGTGCACTTTCTTTCTGTCTCAGCAAAGCAATTATAAACATGGCTTTCAGTTGATTTTTAAGTTGAATTTTTTAAATAATTCAGAGTGCATTTAAATATTTCAAGTGGTTAATTGATTAAATATATCTCATTGAAATGACTTAGAAATGCATGTTTGTTTTAAAAGGTGCTCCAATTGTGTTATTTTCTGTTAAGCTGAAATCTTGCTTTTCACGATTTTTTTTTATATCCTCACTTACCCAAGGATATTTTTCCATTGATTTTTTAGAGTGGAAGGGAGGAAGGGAGGTGGGGAGAGAGAGAGAGAAACAATGAAATAAGAGAGACACAGTGATTGGTTGCCTCCTATATGCACCCCCACCAGGCCAGTGATCAAACCTGTAGCCCAGGTACATGCCCTTGACCGAAATCAAATCTGCTGCCACTCTAACCACTGGGCCACACCGGCCAGGGCCACACAAAATTTTTCAAGAAGCAAGCGAGTACTCTTCCTTATTACAATTCAGGCAGGAGGAATCTATGTTCTCCTTTGAAATTAGCTTATAAAATCATCTTTGTAGGTCATTAATTGTTCAGTGGATATATAAAACCTTGGTTTTAAGGACACCAGAAAATGGACATCTCTTAAAAGTTTCTGAAAATAATCTACCATTGTTCTTTACTGGTCAAATTCAACATGATTTAGATCCTAGTTTCACCCATTAGCAGGGTGTCGGTAGCGGCGGCAGGGTAGCGGCGGCAGGGTAGCGGCGGCAGCCTTCTGACAAGAGAACCAACGTAGGCCATGCTCCTGGGGGAGGTTGCTTGGCAGGCTCCGCCCTGGGCTCTGTCTTCAGGCCTGATGCATCTCCTGGACGGTGCGGCCGCCCGCAGCATGAGCAGAGCCCCCGGGCTGCGTTTGCGGCAGGCAGAAGGCCAGCACAGGGAGTCTTCCAGCTGCAAGTTCTGACTTGTGTTTTGTTTTTTAAGGATCCATAGTTCCATGTCATTATGATGAACGGTTATTACTGCTGTTAAGATAGTTGAAAACATGAATGAATACTACTATCCTGGTGCACTATATACATAATTTTTTTTTTACAGTGGAAATTACAACTAAGATATTATCCACACAGTGATTCAGTTGTTGGTTAAAATAAGTTTTTAATGCAAATAGAATATTACAGTTTACTTATTTGCTTAAAATGTGCTTTACTCTTTTCCAAAGTTAGATAAACCACTGAAGGACAAAATTGTGTCTGTAGAGAATAGGTAGGTAAGGATTGAGAAAGGAAAGGAAAATGCAACATTTCTTGCAGTATTTTTTGTCTGTTTGCTGCAACACATTAAATACTATTTTTTTGCTTTTCATTTGGGAAATTTCATGTTAACTACTTTAATTATTAAGGATATTGGCTTTCCTTTCCTTCTTATCTGAGCTCTTGATTAAACATACTATTGGCAATGGTTTGTGTGCAAAATATGGTCTAAATTTACATGAGATCACATTACAAGTATCTGAGGTGCTTGTCAGGGATAATTCGGTTCATGTGGGTAGCCTTTCAACTCCGGGACCTGCCGTCCCGCCCCCGTGGAATGCTTGGTCTCTGTGGGAAACATATTTTATACTTGAAGAAGCTATTAGCATTAGCATTATATTGCATTTAGTTTTCCACAAATACCCAAAATACTTTTTTACTGTATTTTGAGTACTTTGCTTTTCCATGTGGAGTTTATCACACAAGTAAATATTAATAATTGACTGTTGATTCTTCTTCCCTTTCAATTTGTATTAAAGTTACACTTAGCATGTTTTTGGGAAAAAAATGATTTTCTGTCATTTGTAAAATGAACTTAAGTAAAAAAAATATATATATATTATTTTGAAAAAAATCATTGTTTAATCACTTAAGTACAAGATTTCCCACAGAGTTCTTCAATATATCACAAATCTAATGCTGTCTTCTCAAAACTTGTTTAAGATTTTACATCAGATGTGATTGAAGTACTTTACATTATTCTGTTTGTGCACCTTATTTTACCATTACCTTATTCTGATTGTGGTGTGTTCTTTGATGAATAGCAGATTTAGTTTTCAAGTAAACTTTTTGAGGTACTATAATAGTTTCTAATTATTTCCAGACCTTTTTTAGGAAGTCTCCCTCAGAGGTACCCCAGGAAAAATGGAGTGATGTTATCCTGTAGAGTTTCTCTACGTTTTCATAGTAAAGCTTAGCAGATGTCACTAGCATTTTTCTGTGCCTTATCTGTCAATAGAAAGCGTTTTATAAGTTGAGAAACTTTTATGTAAAAAATAATGTCTCTCAGTATTTAAGTACTTGCTGACTTGAAGCACTGATTAAGCAAATGTAGGCTTAATAAATCATTTTTATTCTTATTAAAAACCCAAACATGTATAAGTGACATAAAGTATAAGTCAGCCTTGCAAGTCTCCCTAGGACCTGTGTATGAAGTTACTAGCATGAGTTATTTTGTGGTTTTGTTTGCCTTTCTTCTTTTCTAAATACTTTATATACTTAAATAAAAAAGGATTTTAGTGACTTCACTGATGTGATCAAGGCCATAACCCAGCACTTAAAAAAGAACCACAACTGAAGAACAATCTTCCTTTTTCAAATGATTTTGCCTTTGAACATTTAAATTTTTCATTTTTCTTCAATATGATACAGTTTAGTCAGATGGTACAAAGCAGAAAGTCATACTTTTCGTCTAACTGTAATAAATCTAACATTGAGGCACAAAGACAGGATGAATGTGGAGGCCTACTGAGGACTATTCACTCGGGGGTGAGGTGCAGGAAAGGTTTGGGGTGCGTAAGAATGCGTGAGTGGAAGAAAGCGAGGGGTGACTAAATGCTTTTTCAAAGCCTCTTTGGAAATGAACCCTATTTGCCAGATGCAGCTATATCACATTCAGTTATTTAATTATTTTTGGACTTTTTTTTTTTTTTTTAGCATTATGATGGCTACTAAAGATTTATTGATATATTCTTCTATTCCTTAATGAGTCTAGTGTTCATTTACAAAGTTGCCCATTATGTAGCTTAATTTGAAATCAATAAAGAATAAAAAGTGTGGCATGATAGTTTTAATTGAATATAATTAAATTCTATCTATGTATAGTTCAGAACATTGATCCTGTGAGCCAAGAATAAGATTTTGTGAAAGGCTTTGCTGATAGACTGGAGATAGACCCCTTAGAGCTAATAGGCTTTCCACAGCATTAGCAGGGAGGGGGCTCAGGCTTAGGAGAGAGTCTGAGCCGAGGTCTGGCAAAAAGGGACCCTGTTCGCGTGCTCAGTCCAGTGACCAGCCGCATCGGGGGCACATCGGAAATTAAAGAACCACATTATTTATTTGCGCTTGTTTGGCTACGCTGGGAATTACCCATTTCCAGGTAATACATGAAACAATACTTACCTGGAAAGTATTTTTTAGTGTAAAATATTGTTGTGTATTAGTAGGACCAGTTGAAGTTGATGAGAAATTTCTCACTTGTGAAGTGCACTGAGTGTTGCGTGGTTTTTGCCTTTACAGGCA